ATGATTTCCACTGGGTATTAAATTGGTTTAGTGCGCGTAGACTAAATAAACTCTAAAATTCCTGACTCACCTCATTGACTCAGATCAAGATTTTTTTAGGAGTGACACATAGTTTGGTCAGAGTTGGCGGTAGATTATCATCTTGCCAGTTTAGTGTTTAGAGCTGACCTAACCTGTTCATGATAACATAGGTATAAGCCTTACACTGCTGTATACAATTTGTTTCATATCAGGAAAGAATACTGTATATTATTAATAGTTACAGTGCACCAAAGGTCTTTTTTGAGTGTGTGTCCACTCTGTTGCGTAAGGTAAAACGTCCTCTGGTAAATTCTTCTAGAACAGTAGTTCCAAACTTTTTCATGCCAGAATCCACATGTATAAATACTGTTTTTCCTGAGACCCACCAAATATTTTGTGAAGTGAAATAAGACGGAAGCTTGTCAAGAAGTCCTTGGGTCCATAAGCTTTCAGCCCCTTTTACTCAACATACTGTTCTTTCAGTCAACAACACACAACGGATAAACGTGCATAGGCCTGCATTGATGCATACTTAGTGAGACTGTATGTAATAGAGAAATAGGATAATGACAGCACATGTTGGTTTTAGGCTTGTGAGGTTGTATGCAATACACTGTTATCTGATTGCCGCCCCCAAGCCACTGAATGACGATAGTGTGAAGCTACAGCGGCTTTGTTAAAAACAACAACAAAAACAAAAAGAAACTGAGAAAATAAACAGCTTGCTAACATTGTACTTTATTTGGTATGGGTTTGGTGGAATCACTCATTTGCAGCCTGTAAATTGCTGTGTTAAGTTAGCCTACAGACTATTGTTACTGTAGCTTACTGTTGTTATTAAGCTGAATTGTACTTTTAGTTTTTAACAACTTTGATGGAATCACATCAGTCAGTTAAGCGAACGTTCATGTTTCACAGGCTTTATTTTGTTGGACAAAATTCACAGGCTTTATTTTGTTGGACATTGCATTAGTAGCCGGCAATATACTGGTTCATCTGCAATACCTGTTGAAATTCTTCCTGGGGAATGAGTTTTGTCATTACCATTATACCGATATGCCACAAAAAGACACAGATAGAGTAACGTACACAGTTAAAGAGGGGAAGGAGAGTGGACGGAAAAGCTGGTCTCTTTGGGTTAACTGTTAACCTTGCCTAGTAGCAACTAGCAGTCTTTCCGCGTACGTTGCTTACGGCACCCCACACTCAGCCAACTGATCCAGGCAATGCCACGATCTCAGGCTACAAGCGGAGGGGCTCCACAGCTTCTAAGTTAATACTGATGTCATGAATGGCTTGTAACATTTACCAAATTCCAGCAGAGTCTGACGCTCATAGATGAGAAAGGTGCTTGTGTGAAACAGATTACTTTTGGTCGTGAAACATCATTCAGCGCTGTTTTTTGCTGCGCTCAGAGTAGCCACTGTGTGCTTTACATACACTCATCTTTATCTCGTTAGTGTTAGAAAGCCACTTCTGTTCATATATTCTTTTCTGTTTTTACTATTTTGCCAAATAAAATATTTTAGATTTTCTTCAGTTGTTAAATGTAGTTAAATGAGTAATGTGCATTTATTAATGTACAAAATAGGTTTACCTAAGCATAGAAAATGGTTTTATTAGAAAAAAAAATACATAAATGATCAGTGCTGGTACTTTGCTGGGATCTGATGCATGTAAAAGTTGTATGTTGGATGTATATTGCATTATGTAAATTAGCAGACATGGTCCTCTGTAACTGAGAATAAATATGCACTGATGTGGCTTTCTCACGACCCACTCATCGCCACTGTTTGAAAACCGCTGCTCTAGAGAAGTGCCCTGAACATGTGGGCCAAATATAGTAGAACCTCAACCACATACTCATAGATCAAGGTCTGAGGTCTGCTGTTCAGAACTTGTGATGGTGTGTGCTCATACAGCCTGTGGGTACACACATGCACACGCACTCAGGGGTTGTCTGCGGGAGTTTGTGGAGGCCCAGCACTATAATGGTGTTCTGCGTGAAGTTTGGGGCTCCGGTAAAAGCAGACAGAGCCTGTGGATTTCTCAGTCTGCTCCACTGTGGCTCTGTGTGACCTCATATGATGAATGGCAGATAATGAGCCGAAATGGCCACCCTGTCAAGCACGTCTGAAGTGCAAATGGTTGGCAGACAGCTTCCCTTTGAACCTTCAAATCACCCCAGCAGCTCTTTTAATGGTTAGTACGTACTCTGTTGGAAAAGCAACCCGACTTTGTGTTTAATATTTTATGTGTTGGTCTGATGGTAATTACCGTTTGCTGATCTCGCCAGTTACGACACTGATGAAAGAGCTGGATGAAAGCAGTGGTGATTGAGGTAACCAATTATTTTTGTTTTGTTTTGTTTAGATTATTTTTCTAAAGTCTTTCCTGTATTAACTTTGTGGTCTAAAATGTCTTGCAGGACTGTATGGTCAAAAAAGCTTCCCATCTTGTCTGAGATCTGTCATGCACATTTGCAGGCCTGTGCAGTTGTCCGTCCTGCTGTGTCTAAAAGAACGCTGCTGTTTATTTTGCCTGCTCAGTGTTTGCTGCTCTCTGCGGCACCCTGTTGCTCAGCCACTGTACTGATCTTCTGTTTGAAGTTCCCATTTCATCCTCACGGCAGGACGGAGATGCTTGCAGAAACGCACCCACACCTGTCTTGCTGTCTCCACACTGACTGACACTGCAAATAACAGAGCTCCTCATGTCAGGCCGTGTTTAAGCATCAGGCTGGATCATGCAACGTGTCAGACACCAGCACTTTCTTCTGCCTTTGTCTGCTTCCTTCTTAGAGCTGAATGAGAGAGAGACAGAGACAACCAGTTGAATTGATACAGTGCTGGACTGCTAAAGCTTATATCTTAACAGGTCACTGAACCTTTTTAGCTTCTATTTATTCTGTGTGACTGAATCTAGTTGGCTCTGGGCAGCAAATAGTGGATGGTGTCTGGATAGTTTCAGCCAGGCCTTAGGTCATTAAAGTCCTCAGCCATGTTAAGCTCGCTCTTTGTTTGGTTTGTGTTCTGAGTTCAGCCACAGGTCGTGGAAACCAGGTGCCATAGAGCTTCATTTATACCTTCACTGGCGGTGTTACAGCCTTACGGCGCGTCGTATAGCCACCGCTAATCAGCCTGCCAAATCAAAGGCACCAGCAGACAATAAGCTCACTAAAACAAGCACTTTGGTTTACAGCTGTTACAGCAGATATGACTGAATTTGGGTAGAAAACAATGAAACCTGGTTGAAGGCTATTTGCATGGCTTTTCCATTACTGTGGCTAATGCAGCAAATTCAGTTTCCCAGCATGTTAATTAATGACAGAATCTCTTTATACGCAGGAAACCACTTGAAGTTCCCTTGCTGTGACGACTTTATAACTTTAGAACAAGTTTAGGTAGGCCTTGACTCTGTCATTTACTCTATCTGTGCCACGTCCAATGAGGCTGTAGCCATAATGTGACTATGTGGCCTTATCCCCAAAAGGCAAAAATGTCAGGAGGTCATTTTGCAGTGTCACTGACCTCCAGCCCAGCAGACTCCAGCTTCAGACTTGAAAAGCCAGGGGCAAACTCCTAAAATAAACAATTAAATTAAAAGTAAAGGAAAGATGCAGGGATCATTTTCCACCATTGCCCTCTGCTTAACCTGAATTAGACCGAAGAGTAGCAGACCTAATAACTCTTTCCCTTCTTACTTATACGCAGCTCTAGCAGCACGGGGCCTTTTCTGTTAGGTAGGGCCTGCCTTTTTTAAAGCCACAATCAGGGGCTTCACAGCAACAAAGTGGTAGCCCAAAGAAGTAGGTTATGTAAAAAAGCTCTGCATGGAAAAACAAGCTTTTATTGTATAGACAAGCAATAAAAAACTGTTAGAATTGTGTCTCAAAAATAGTTGAAGGTAACACTTTATTTGAAGTGTCCCTTTGTAGGTGATTAATAAATTCTTAACAGATTATCAGTAACACATCAACAACATATCTGTGAAGTAGCAGTGGTGAAGTATCTAAATACACTGAAGTCAATATCTTGTAGATGTACTGTTGATACATTACTTACATTAAGTAGATGTATTATTAATGTTACTTCCATTACACAAAACCCAACCTTACCCAAATCCTAACTCTAGCCCTAATCCTAACCCTAACCTTAACCTCAACCCAAAACCTAATCCTAACCCTCATATATTTTTGACATGTTACTGAGAATCTGTTGAGTGTTTGTTTCATCTAAACAGAGCCACTCAAAATACTATTACGGAGTCGAATCTTTTACATAGCAATCTGAGTCTGTTCTACAACATTCCTATGTGTGTAAACAAGAAATAAGCTATAATTTAGTGACTGTGACTTTAAACCTCTAAGATGTTAGAGGTTGACCATGCTGCTTATATTCTGAAACTCAAGCACACTAAAGGTCTTTGGGTTGACGAGGGGTGGACAACATGACTATATTTATTGTTACTGTGACAAATTAATAACATTGTCAGAATATGCTTTACTTAGTATATCAGGGGTATTGTCAGTGCTTAAAGAACACTGACCAACTGTATGTTTTCTTTACAAAGAAAGCATAATTAGTTCTGTTTAATTGAATTTAGTGCAGCTCAGTATGTGAAACATTGGATGAAAATCACTGTATTCATAGTTTCTGATAGCATTTTTTTTTACATGTAACATTACTGTTTTTGGGGTTTTTATTGTGTGTTCCTATCTATCAAACCTCAGAAAAACTGAAAATTATGATGCATCTTGTGTATCATGAAACTGTCTTGAAGTACAGTGATATTACTTGAAGTATACTGATATCCAGTATTAGCCATATATCCCACCTCTACTAGAGACATAACAAAAGTCTTTCTGTTTCAATATTTATTAATGAAACTGTTTTTCACTTGTAGCTTAAATGGCTGCTCAGCTCATGTTTTGTGGAGTTTTCTTTTTGCCTATCTACAGTGTAATTTCTTATTTTTAGGAACAATAGCAGAGTGCCTTCACAGCCTAGGGGTCAAAGGTTACCTCCTCCTCGGCCGCTGATGAGTATACCCCGCAGAGGAGACGACAATGTTATGAACGGCACTGTGAATCCGGACCGAGGGTATGTACTGGAACATGTATATCATAAATGGAAGATGACACTGTGTGTGTCCATTTGTAATTTATGCTCATCAGTTATAATCACTAACTGCTTCTTCAGATTTCACTGTTACTTGACCATCTTTAGTTATTCACTTCTTTAATTGTTCTGTGTTAGGGATGAACGTGAGAGCCTGAAGCGGAAAGCTCCATTCCCCCCTGCTCGTGAGCAGTCCCCACCGAAGAGAGAGGTGCCCCCTGCCTCCCGTTCTCGATCCAGCCGCAGCTACTCTCCTGAGTGCAGCAAGACCAGCTTCTCTCCACCTCTGCCCAAGAAGACTGCCATCCAACAAGGTCAGAGCATTTTACCCATTTCAGTGACTGTCCGTCTGGTATTACATGAAACAGAATAAAACTGAACTGAGCTTTATGTAAACCTTTACTGGTTTATGGCTTTTTTTGAGTTGAGAATTAAGGGAGTCATGGTTCATGTCAAAATCTACCTGTGCCTGTGTTTGATAATTTGAGTCGGACTTTTGAGTCATTTGGCTGCGAACTTGTCAACCAGAGAGGAGGGTGGAGGGTTACCTTTTCTCTTTATTGCATCTTCCGTCTTATTGCTGTGGTGCACCAATCATGGTAGGCCTGAACCAAGCATAGAAGTAAACACACAACATTCAAATATAGAACGAGTGTGCTTGTCTTACTCTCGTTATTTAAATTAAAGAGTAATAGCACAAAATGGCAAAATAACAATGAATAGGATCAGCCTGATTCTGCAGCAGGTGCTGTAGCATAGATTTGTTTAAGTAAAAGTCCATTGTTTGGATTAGCTTTAGATCTGACTGACTGATTTTCATGATGTGTGTCTGTGTCTGCTGTGGCCAAGCTGAAAAATATTTCTTGCAAAGTGTTGAGGTTTTATTGAGACGCATACATAGATATATACAATAAAGGAATGTCACAATCAGAAAAACATCAAAAGAGAAGAAAGGCTCAAAAAAAGAGTTGTCTGTGATAACTCTTATTAAAGGAAGTGTATTTAAAATGTAGTATCCTTTGCATTTACGTCCATTTATCCCTGTGTGTTTTTATGGTGTTGTATGTCGTCCATTTTCGCCACCTGTTAACAAATACATTTTCTCTCACTCGAAGCTGGTAAGTCGTTTTTTCTAGTATATAAATTTGTCTCACAATTTCTGCCCACTGTTCTGTAGAGGGAGGTTCTATCTTATACCATTTTATTTTATTGCCTTTTTTTCCTGGCTATCAGAAGTATTCTTGTTCATTATCCATAACATAATCATTTATATCTCCAAGACACACAACTTTGCATTCTTTGGGAACTAAATAGCCCAACATGTCTTTAACCACATCATATACATTTTCCTGAAAAGAGTACAATTTATTACATTTCCAGATGTGTGTATGATTGGCATGCTTACTCCCACACATCCTCCAACATGACTGTTGATGACCAGCTTATTTGCTCCATATTTCAAATGTTACAGCAAAGTACATTTGCCAGAAGTATGATGGTGGAATTATCAGTCAGCATACCATTTAGCCTAAATCTGAACCTCTCGATCATTTCTCCATATTGCACTTGCACTGATAATTCCAAATCTGTTTCCTAAATTTTCAAACTCATGTTTTGGTGCTAAACTGAAGTGAAGCAGCTGTTTTATTTTGTGCCTTCTGGCTTTAGTGATGGTGTAGAAGAGCTCTCAGAGCTCTGTGGTTCACTGGGCTCGGTCATGGCAGCAGAAACCTGAGCAACCATGTCTAATCACCCTGCTACAGCCTGGCCAGCCAGGCCTGATGAAGGCTTTTGACTTTTAAAAGGAGGTTAAGCTGTACAAGGCTGAAATGAGGAGCTGTGACCTCCATGGCTGCCGCACTGAGGGACAGCTGAGTGAGAGCTGAGCGTCTTGCTGCCCTGTGCCTGTTTTTTCTGAGATGGATTCTAGGTGGTTATTGCATTGTAAATCATAGTGATCTGCTCCTTGACTCTCGTACCGTCTGCAGTGAAAATATTAATTCTAGAAGTGTGCTGATCATGAATTTTTATGGCCTGTTCTGGTTAATTGGCTATATGTATTTTATTAGCCTTTTTTAATACCTGAAGCTCACACTATGTGGGCTAACCGAAGACATGAAACCCAGCACCTTTCTAGTATTTTCTATTAGCCAAAGTCACAATATAAATAACATTGCTGTCTCTTTAATGAGCCAAATTGACATTTTAAATTTGTAAATAAAAATCTGTTACCTGTTTAAATAACATCATATAGCATATAAAGCACTACATCGAAAGCAAGAGGCACCTGGCTGTAATTTTTTAACAGTACTGTACATCATAAAATTGCACTACAGATTGACTAAAATGAAAACAACAAACATTTGTCATTTGCTTGTTTGGAGAAAAATCAGCCTGCTTATTATGAACCTTCATAACCTCATGATTTCTTTAGGTTAGTGAGAGTAAAGCACCTCATTGCAATATATCATTACATACATCATAGACCGCTCCAGCTATGAAGATTAAATTTTTGGAGTCGCCCACTGTGAGAGGCATCTGCTTCTGTCTGTGTGTGCGTGTGCACGTGTGCATGTCTAAGCCTTCAGGACAGTAATCACTCAAAAGTGAGACACGGTGTGTAAAGGTGAATCTTTCTGTTTGATTGAAGGTTTGACCTTGTAAATGCGTTTGTTAGTCTGACTGTTTCAGAAACAGCATGTCTTCAGGTCTGATAGATGTCTCTGGCTTGCAGCACATTTAATGATTCTGCTTGTCCTTCACCCCTGCCGTCTACCTATTAGATCAATTTCAAGGTTTGTTTTCAATCTAACAGTCACATGTAAGGATCAGTAGCTGTGGTTGCACACGTTTAATATTTTGTTACTGTAAATGTTAAGCTGTAGTGCACATGGACAAATTTGAGTCTTGAGACTTGGACTGTTGTTAAAGATCATTTTCACTGTGTCCAAGAACCGGCTCTTGTTTGTTGTAACTAGGCATGTTAGGTTAATCAGTGATCGCCAGAGATAAGAGAATGCTGCCATTCAATATTAATTACTCCTCATTCATAGCTCATTAAAACAAGTAGCAAAATTATGTCAGATGTGCAGAATTTAAACTTTCAATCGATATCACAATTATATTTGATATGAAGGACATTTTTTTAATTTACTGTAGCAGCACTGCTGTGTCTGATCTACTCATACCAGCACAACACACACTAACACGCCACCACCACGCAAGTGTCACTGCGGTGCTGAGAATGATCTCCACTACCACTACCCAAATAATATCTGCTCTGTGGTGGTCATATTGGGGTCTTGACTGTTGAAGAACAGGGTAAAAGGGGGCTAACAAAGTATGCAGAGCAACAGATGGACTACAGTCTGTAATAGGAGAACTACAAAGTGCACCGATGTGGTAAATGGAGCTGATAAAATGGACAATGAGCGTAGAAACAAGGAAATGTTCCTACTACATTAATACATTATAGTATTAATGTGTTAATACATTATAGTACTACTTAGAGTATAACTAAACAAAAGTCATACTATTCCATGTCCAGGGATCTAGAACTGCACCTCTCTTCACTGCAGTTTTTTAAAGCAGCTTTTTCCCCACTGGAGTCACCATTTCAAAGTCTTACTCAAGCTAGGTTTTAAAGGGATATTTATGTGGTGTTAAGAGAGTTGACTCACCAGAGGCCCCAAGACTACCAGAGTCACTTCACATTTTGCCAGAATCTTGAACCTTTCTTTTGAAGAGGCTATAAAAGCACCAGCAAACAGATGTTGTTCTGTTACCCCATCACCCCTCTCCCTGTCCCGCTGGCCTGCTAATTAACCAACACATCAAAGTAGGCAGAGAAAGCATATCCTACATGATCCGGAATGCACATAGACATTCACATAGGTTCTCAGCAGAACGTCTCTTCCACTAAAGTTAGAGGTTTGCTTATCTTCTTTTTCCTTCTTTAGTATACTCAAGATGACTCAGCAGTGGTATGCTTTGAAAAGCAATGTGGCCAAACCTTCCCAAGCCACACGTGTAATCTCATTTCCTGTAAGATTGAAGTGTTCTTGATAGTTTGATGCATTTTTTGTGGCAGACATAGCCATGCTGATTCATAGTCTTGAAAAGCAGGCTAGGTAGAAATAGCTTTACTTACCCAGTTTTATGGTTTAGAACAGTGGTTCCTAACTGTTCCCCTGGAGTACGCCTATCCCGCTCAGTGTATTTTAGTGTTTTCTCTGCTTCAAATCAAATCAAATCAAATTTATTTGTATAGCGCTTTTTACAACTGATGTTGTCACAAAGCAGCTTCACAGAAATCCGTTTAGAGCAAAGTTTTAACATGAAATGTAAATCCTCCCAGTGAGCAAGCCAGGGGCGACAGTGGCAAGGAAAAACTCCCTCAGAGCTGAGGAAGAAACCTTGGGAGGAACCAAGGCTCACATGGGGGGACCCATCCTCCTCTGGTCAAACTACCTACAAAATTATTATTCTACTAATATTAATAGTAGTAGTAGTAGTAATAGTTAGGAGGTCGTAATAGTTCAACTTCAACATCCTCACTTCAGCTCAGAAAGAGCTTGTTAATGAGCTGGGCCCAGTTTTCCCATCTTAATGTTAAGACTATCTTAACAGGTAGAGAGAGTGTTCACTGTGATGCTTGCTGTACCATTTGAGAATCATCTTTGTACTGAGATGCTTTTGGGAAATCCAGTCCTGCTTAGTTTTCCTAAGTATGTTAGAGCAAAAAACATGAAAACATGCAGGGCCAGACGACTCCAGGACCACTGATTTGCATGCATTATCGATTGAGAAGTGCAGTGACTGTTAAACCAGTCTGAAGTCAAACTTATCTTGTGATGTATACGCAAGTGTTTATGAACACTTTTTTATGTGCACCTGCCTTGCATCTACACTCATTGTCCATTTTATCAGTTCTGCTTACCATATAGGTGCTTTTTATATATGTAATTACAGATGTTACTGTTTTCTTTGCATAATAATTATTGACAGCAAGCGTTTAAAACGAGTACTGCAGTCCAAATTCAAAATATTGGAGAGAGTTGTCTGCCCTTGCCCCCTCCTCCCTAGACTTGAAGCTCATGCGGACTGCCAGGTTGAGGACCCTGAAAATACATGAATGAGCACAAAACAAGCATTGTTAAACTTTGACAATGGGAAGCAATGATGAGTTCTTCACTGTAATTTGATTGACTAATGTGTATGTTTGCAGTATTTTTATTATTTGCACATTATAAACCAGCTCATGTGGATTTTTTATAACTCTGTCAATGTTAGTTAGATGCATGGCCGACCATGTATGATACCCAAGGCTAAGCCTGTTATCCTGAAAAGGCTTCGAAAGTACTCGCTGCCTTGAGTGAAGATGAAGTCAGCTTCTTATTCACCAGCTTCTTGTTCAAACTTCCCATTCCTCCTTAAAAGGTGCAGCAGTTACATTCCGGTGCCCCAGCCTATTTGCCAGCTTCTTGTTTGAAATTTCCAGTTCCATCTTAAATTGTGCAGTGGTTCATTCTGGCTCCTGAGGCTCTACTGCTACCTCTGATAATATAGTCAAAAATTCAAATAGAACAACAAGTGGTGTGAGATCACATCAGTGCTAAAGTGGCCAAGAAAGAGAACTGTTTTAAGTTCTCTAACATGGTGAACACAAAAGGTACTGAGGTCATGTGGTTCCCTTTCAGGGTCTGTTTAACAGAACTGAGATCGGTTCATTTAAAAAGAACTACATATGGAAACATCCTTAGAGATGATATCTGTTGTTACACAGTTTGTGTTAGTCATCCTCTAGTTCTTCATCAGTAGTCAGTTTCTGGCTATGGGGCACTGCTGGCCGGATAGTTTTGGTTGGTGGAGTAATCTGAGCTGTTTAAAAACTCTGCAAACGTGTTATTACCATGTGTCACTGCAGTGCTGAGATCCACCACCCAAAAAATACCAGCTCAGTTGTGGTGTTGTGGAGCTCCTGACCATTAACAAATGGCGTAAAGAGGAGCTAACGGAGAAACAGATGGACTACAGTCTGTAATTTTAGAACTACAAAGTGCAGCTATATGATAAGTGGGCCTGATCAAATGGACAGGTACTATAGACGCAAAGTAGGTGTCCATAACAAAGTTACCAATAAGTCTATATCTTGTCTTATGTCCATGGAAATCCTGCAGTGACTGTACTGCCAGACTGGTGTTTTATTAGTCGTGCTACAGTTTGAACACGCTCATGTCCTGTTCTGCCTGTGCACTCACTCTATAGAGGGTCTGATTAACAAAAACATACTGAAGTCTTGTGAACGCAATGTTTCGGGTCCTGCCGCTCAACCAACTGGTCATCAACTATTGTATGAGGTCTCCACTGTGAGGCAAAACATAAACAGCCTATTTGTCTAAGGCTCTAGCTCTCTCTCTCTCCCTCTCTCTTTCTCCCTCACTGCTGTGACTGAAAGCTCAGCTGCATTAGACTGGAATTGGGTCACACTCATACACTGACATGTTTTCAGGGTGATTCTTCAAAATTGAATTATATGAAGATGGTTCTAATATTCTTTTGGAAAGCTTTTGTATTTGAGATGTGGATGTGTTTAAAGTTTAAAGATGAATTGCTTCTCCTAGTTTACACAAGTCTCTTTTTTTTTTTCCTCTCTATGTAGAAAAAGAGAGACCACCCAATCGCACTGGTGAATCTCAAGATGGATCCCCACACAGTTCAGTATTAGCAACAAAGGTATTGCTCAACACTTTCCTAAGAAGATTCCCACATTCACGTGAAGCTTAATCTTGAACTGAAAATGCTGTTTTGATAGAATCCTTTCTTTTACATGTTTTTGTAGTTTAAGATTAGCCTTATTCACGGTCTGACCTGGTCTATATGTAAAAGTAGGGCAGAACGATTTGGGGAAAATAGTTTACTCTGATTTTTCTGGTCAAGATTGCGATTGCAAATATTTAGTATAAATCCATTTCCAGGGCTGTTTTCGGGCAAAGAAGACCAGAATGTCCACTTTTTCTGTCATGAAACTGGAACACTGAGTGCATCAGACTACTAGTTAGTTGTAATGGTTGTGATGTCACATATACAGCACTTGGGTGTTTCTGAACTCTTCTACAGGCAGTTCACAAGCTCTGTGTTATTAGGTTAAATTTCCCCATTTAAAACTAACACAACATTGTTGATATTTTATATAATAAAAATTGCAGCTGACGAGATTTAAAAATTCCACTCCATTTCCATTAGTGATTAGCAGTAATTAAAGTTATGAGTGATGTTTCATTTGCATTTTATAACATATCAATTGCATGTATGACACTCTGGCCAGACTAGGGAACTCTTCTTCTGATAATGTATCATAAGGTGGAAGGAACCTTTCAACAACTGCTTTGTGATGTACTTTTTGGGAGGGTGAGCTGTTTGAAATGTTTTTTTCTAGCTTTTTAGCATTAATATTCACCATCATTTCCTTCGGCAGTCACCTAGCTGAAAAAAATCCACACATTTCAGAAGGCAGTGTGAGTGTGGGCACATGCACGTGGCCTCCCAGCTCTTCCTGTACAGCCCCTGAAAATCCACCCAAAACAGTTGTTGTTTTTCAGATGTTTCTCCCAATAAATCATTAGAAGATTTTCCTAGTTTTGCTGGAGTGTCCCTTTAACATACAAATACATCCTGAAAAAGGCTTAGTTTTGAAGGAACAATACTGTATTAAAGATAATAAGTGTCATTATGTCCGTTAAAAGTTCTTACAGGAATTCGTATTTAATCTGTGCTCTAATGCTTTTGGTGAGTTGGGCCTCGGCTGACTTCGTACTTGTGTCTCGTTAGCAGGAGGAGAAGCCAGAGACTGGAGTGGAGCAATGTGAGGAGACAGAAGTTAAGGAAGATGCTGGCCAGACTCTAGAAGTACGTCGGGCACATGTCATCGCAAACAAAGCTCTGGAGATTGAAAAGGTAACTGGTCTATAGCATCACTGAGCTTTAACACTGATCTGAGCGTTCGTGGACAGTTATCTCTGCTCTTCGGAGGAAGAGCACAGTCACATGACTTGCAACTAAATTAAATGAATTATATTGTTAGTCTTTTATTCAGTAGAAAATGTCTTTTTTAGCTCCTAGTCATTACAAAATCATAATTGTGTTGTGGAAAAAAATGTCAAAGGTGATAATTGATTCTAACAAGCTTGTAAGTGTTCATAAATGTAAGTAGTGTTCAGCATTAAGTGATCAGCATGGTAATACACGTTTTTCCTGCTTTTCCTTGTGCGCATGTGTGTTTTCTAATCTCTTGAGGAGTCTCCGGTTGTTAGGACCGTGGGTATTTCCTGCCCTAATGAAGAGAGACCTCAGCTTTGGTTATGTATACACACACAGAGAGACACATCAATTGTGGAATAAGATCAATCATGTTTGATTTAGTTACAACATTTTATCTTTGAAATAAGGATATTAGAAGCTAAACACAAATGGAGTTAATTTAGTATCACTGCCGTTGGTTAAAAGTAACAGTTGTAACAGTTTAGCTTAGTCGGATCTCCTGTTGATGATGGCTGGGAGTGATTACCCAGACTTCATTCATCATTTCAATCAGCCTAAACGAAATACATCCACTTGCCCTATTATACACTATTGAGCGCTCTGCTCTGCAGCCTCAGTGATTAAATAGCTCTTAATATTCCCTAATGTGTACCAGCCCTCAAATAATTATTCCCACTTCCTTGATTACTGTGGACCCCTGCTTGCTTTAGCGTTCGTTTGGGCAGAACTGCTCTCCTCTTTTCAATGCCTGTGTGATATTTGTAATGTTTTACAGACCGATAAGCCAATACCCACCTCTCCCCCCCAAGGTCTGGACCATGTAGGAAGCTGTGGTTGTGGTTCTTCATTGCACAATCCTGCTTGTGTGGCCATGAGTTATCAACCCTTGAGATCGGGTCCTGGTCTCTCTCCGTTTGGGAGTAGAAACGACGCATAACCTGCCACACAAGAGCAGGCACGAGTCAAACGCTAGTTTCCTGTTTGTTTAAGTAACAGTGGCAGCCTTTTAGTGCTCCCACTTCACTTTAAGGCAAAACCATCCCAGAATTGAACTGCATGTCCTTTGCTATAATTACAGCCCAAAACTGGGTGAGGCAGTTCCTGTAGTACCATTCGGTTTTTGTTTCTTGTTTCCTTGCTTTATTGTAACTACTTGTGGCTAGTGGTTTTGACGATTCTGAGATGTCAGGGGAAATAATTGTAAATTGAGTTTATTCTTCATTGCCTTCAGAGCTTCGAGTCTAACTACTTTGAAATGCCTGGAAGAAAGTGCATAATATTTAGCCTACAGGAATGAAAATGCAATCAGTGTCAGCATGAAAGATTGTACAAAATGACTTGTGGATTGTTTATTTATATATATAAAAAATTAGCAAACATAATCAGTTCTGATCATCAGAAATGTGTGCAGTCCACATTCCATTGTCTTTCATGTACAAATAATGGAAAATTATCTTGGCATCCATAAGAAAAAAAAAGATCAATATTTATTCTCTTGCAAGGATGTGTAAAATCATGTGTAGGAGATATTTCCCCGAACAGATTTCTCTGTTTCAGACAGAGAAGTCAGTTTGTTTCAGGAGTAAACCAGCCATATACAAAAGGCAGCTTTTGTAGTATGGCTAAAGACTTCATTGACCTGTTGATCAGTCACAGTGAGATGGCCTGCAAAAGCATTGTTGAATTGTCCTCCATGTTTTACTATTGTACCAACTCTCTTTTTTACCCCAACTGTTTATTCTCTCTTGGTTTTAGTGCTGAAAACTGGGACACGGGTAGATCTGTAAATGTTATAGCTGGAGGCTCTGAGGATCCTCTAATTATGCTTAAGTTCTCTGGTAAAGGGTGGGAACTCAGTCGTTGCATCTCAAACTATGAAAAAAAGGCTTTATTTTCCCAAAAGATAATGTGCCAAGCTGGTTTTCTTGTATAACAGGATGGCAATGTGGCAATGTCTACCCAATCTTCTTCTTACTGTTTCTGTCTTTAGCTACTTCTCCCAAAGTCTGCATGACTCAGTCAGCGTGTTCACCTCCCATCTCTTGATTAGACTTGGCCTTTAACTTGACCATATTCGTACAGGGCTTGGTGTATTATGTTTAAACAAATATTTTCCCAACTTACTTTCTTCCTGGGAAGATCTTCTCTCTTTTTTCTTTATTTTTTCTCAGAACTGAGTAAAAACATCAGACCAAATCACCAATATTCCTAAAAATCATGTGACTGTACAAAAGCCATGTGCTTTTGATTAAATTGCTACTTTTGAGATATATGCCACATCTTTAGCTGCTTTCTGAACCTCTGTTGTCAAACCCTTTAATTTAATACTGTTCTAATTTCATACTGTCCATGATGTCTTGCAGACGAGTTGCGTTTTCATAATTACAGGATCATTTCAACACCTTTTCGTTTTCACTCGAAAAGCTCTGCAGTATTGCGTCTTTCTTGTAATAAGTTGCCCCAAATCCATAAATTTTATGCTAAAAAACAGAGTCAGAAGATTATATTTTATGTATGCAAATGTTGTTAACTCTGTAGTTCACTCTGTGAGCCTTTAAAGAAGTTATGTGATTGAGAAAACTGATGATTTCATGTTCCCCCCCATAGTGAGAACATGGCTAATGTTATCTATCTGTCATATTCTCAGTTATACAGGCAGGACTGTGAGACCTTCGGGATGGTGGTTAAGATGCTAATTGCTAAGCAGCCAACTTTGGAGAAGCAGCTTCAGACAGCATTGAAAGCGAACCTGGCAGAGATTAAGGAACGATGCCTGGAGGACCTCCGTCACTTTATTTCTGAGGTGAATGTAGTGCTTAAATCTGACCAGTCTTGATCGAGACTGGTTTCATCAAAGGACTCCTTTACAAAGCACTTTTGGAAGCAGTGATGTTTGCTAGTTTTGCCAACCCTTTTTGCTGCTTCAAACCATTGTTAAAAACTACTATACAAGCCACTTGAAAATGTCAAGCTTAAATAGCTTGGAATCCGGTGGAACAGACAGAATGAGTATCAGCAGTAAACAGTGATACTATTTGATTCTCAGTACATTTATTGGACAATCCTGATGTGGCTCAAATGTCAGTGTTCAGTTGTCTGGTTTAAAAAAATGTGTTGCCCTGATTCACTGCCAATATACATGCCAGAAATATTCAAGATTTTCTTATACTAAACACTTTTTAATAAACTTTTCCTAATAAATATCTCCACTTCTTTTTTTTCTTCTCCACTGCATTTACAAAGTGTCAATGTTTGTGAAAGAAAAGTATTTAAAACAAAGTATAACTTACATAGTCTTTTATTGTCAGCTTTATGTTCCAGTTTTTGCGTTTATACAGATTACATCAATCTGTTTGCTATGGCACATAAATAAAATTCAAACCAACCAGGCCCTGCACAATATATAGCATGTTTGTTTTTCATCAGTTGCTTTGATAGAAAAGAAGCATGTACACTGAGACAACAAGGGTCTATCTGCAATGTATTTGATGACGTTTTTATTTTTAAAACCCTGATTAACAAAAGTGGGGCTCCTGCAGACCATAACTGATATTTGTCAGCAATTCTATTACTTTATCTGTCTTAAAAAATCTTTTGAAATTCAGGGATATAAAAAATATCAGATTTAAATCAATAGTTTTTTTACAATATATACATGTCTATTTGGACTGTTAAATATTCACTCATTTATATATGGTGCTTTATAAATATTATATTCTTTTATTCTGTCCATGACCATAAGTGATGTATTATTTAATATACATGGCAGTTGCTGCAGAGGTGAATTTTTGCTTACTTAATGTAATATTGCATCTCTTCTCAAACAGTCAGTCTTGTTCATCAGGTGAAAAATACTGCAGAAATGTGAATGTGTCAATACTGGCCTTTGAATAAAGGCATTTAAAATCGAGGAACTATCTACTGCATTGCATGACAACTGTTTTCAGTGGAGTCTATGAAATGATGCAGTTTTTGCCTTTATGTCCTTTCTTCTTTTTGGAATTTGTCCTTGTGCCGAAAGGTGAGGGCATTTGATTGGGAAGTTCATCAGTGTAATACTGATACCTAGGTTGTCTGGGCTGTGGAATTGGCTGACCAAGGAAAAAGCCCTCCTCCTCAGATTCAGAGGAGGAAGAGGAGCATGTAGAGCACCAGTCGTCATCGTCTCCATAAAGACGAAAGAATTTTTCTGCAGCCTGGTTTTGCAAGCCCATAATCAGAGTTTGCATGCGCATGTGAGTGCTGTCCATACTGTGCAGTAGGGATAGGAGCATGTTGGTGATGCCCCTCTCTGAAGCACATACGAGCTCTCTCTTTGGGTACTATGTGCAGCGCGTTGTCCGAGCGAGACTTCCGGCTCCGTCTCCGCCTGTGATTGTGATGATGCCGATGCTGTCGCCGGTCCTGTTCATCAAAATGATACACTCTTCTGCGAGTGCGTTCACTCATTGGAGGCTGTCGCACCTCCACATCATCATAGCGTCCATTGTCCACTACGTCATCTGAGAACTTGACTTGCTGGGGCCTTGACTGAGATCTGGTCCTCCGAAGAACAGGTAAGTGAGGCATTTTGGGTCTTTCCTGTGGGAGAGGGATGACCTCCTCAGGTTCTTCCTCTTCTACTACTTCTACTTGCTCCAACTCTGAGGTAAGGCTCTTGAGGGAGTTGGCACTCCTGTGCAGCATTGAAGAATTCAGAGTTCCCATGTTGCTCGTTTTCTCACAATCCTCGTTCTCCATAACTGTGAAGTTTTGTAATGAATAAGGTAACGGCTTCTCTTTGAAGTCTCCATCAACTGATGCACCTGTAACAAAAGAGACCGGATTAGCTATCTCAGGAAGAACGCTGATTCATTTATAAGCAGAAAATTTGTGATTTCACATGCTATTGATAAGCAGAAGAGAATTCATTGGAACGGAGTACATTAGCTTCCAAAATATCCATTGTGTATTAACTTTCTGACAAGGAGCGATGTATGCATCTTTTCTTTTGACATAGATCCAAGTACTCTTTACTGTTAGGTTTGAAGCATGGAAATTCAGTGTTCCAAGTTTCTCATAGAAAGACTGAAGACCATATTAACGTTCTTAACTGGAGAGGTCTTGGTACTGCTTTAGCAATGACCTAAATAGTAGTCATACTCAAAATTATTAACTGCGCTAAACAACAATAAAATCTTATTCTCACCTGTGATATTTGAGAGTGCTAGAGAGTCCATGGAGTCTCGGACGCTCTGCTCTGCTTGCTTCAGCTCATCCGTGATGCACTCCAATGAGTCATCATACCATTGTTTGTCCTCTCGCTTAAAGTTGGCACCATGTTCCAGATCCAACTCCTGGATTTTCCGACTGCTTGCAGGCCCAGGATGACTACCGTAGGCAGAATCTCCCAGTCCATCTTGAGACTGGGTCCAGTACATATCTGCCTTGTACTTTTTACTGGCTAGACTCCCACTGCCACCACTGCCTGACATCTTTGACTCCGCCTTATTTTTGACCTCAGAGTCAGTCATCCAAAGGTCAGTTGGTCTGCTGTCATCAGACTGCTGGACGATTCCATGCTCTCCAAACTTAAGAAGTAGCTGGGTCATGTAGTCTTCATGCTCGGCCCATTCTTCATGGTCGTCAGGTGCTTCCTGCTCATCCCTGTTCCTCCAGAAATGGTCGTTTGCAAAGCTCAAATGGGACAGCTTGTTTGATAAAGTATCGTCAGCATTGCCTGAGAAACCAGGAAACTTGTAGTTTCCAGCAGGAGAGAAGAGCAGAGACTGGCGACACTGGTCTGCAGAACGACTGCTCTTGCCCATTCTTACACTGCGGCGGGACTCACGAGACCTGGCAGACTGAAAGGCCGAATCTGAGGAGTCTGAGGCATGGACATCCTCCCCCAGACTACAAGCTTTGGAACAATAGATGTGGCCTTGTCTGGGCAGGAATGGGCAGCCAATCAAAGAGCTCTTGCACTGGGCACAGCTGAAGCACTCATCCGTAGCATGCCAGTGGAGACCATCATATGTCATCTGAGCATGGTCAACACCTAGATGAAAATAAGCAGAATTAAAGGTTAGCTCTTTCTACAAAAATAGAGTAGTTTTTGGACATAAAGACGTCTACAAACAAAAGAAACTTTGGCTTACCGATGTGTTCTCCACAGGCCTCACAGTATTCTGCATAAAGAGACTCAAAGCACCCACAACAGTATGGCCGACCATCTTTCATGATGTATCGCTGACCACCCAAAATGGTTTCGCATTCAAAGCAGGAAAAGTGCTTCATGTGCCAGTGACGACCCTCAGCCTCTGTGCACTCATCAGCAAAGATAATCTGAGGGGAAAATTGTTACTTATTATGTTAAATTCTTGAAGGCAGACAGAAATGTACAGATGCTTAGTGTATTGGCCACTTATGTCTGTCCTTACCTCGTCACATGCTGAACAGCGAGGCTTTAACAGTTCAGCATGATGTCTCCCACAGTGAATCTTCCCCTCATGGTAGAAGTAGATTAGATCCACAAGAAGTTCACTACATGTTGAGCATGTAAAGCATGCTGGATGCCAACATAGTCCAGGCCCTGCTCTGGAAGCAAATACTGCCATCTCTCCTCCATTGATGTTCTCCCCACACTGAAGTCAAAAACGTGCACCTTAGTTACCACGAACATGGTGAAGCTTATTCTGAGAAGCACTTTTTTAAAAAGCTTTATTTGGATACCTACATGTTCACAGATAACGTGAAGCATAGTCCTAGGCAGCAATTTTAGGGTTCCACGCCCTAGCGCCTCCTTTTTTCTCTGCACGCTGAACATATGGAGCTCCTTCTTTTCTTCTTCACTGAGGGACTGGCAGTATCGCACCTAAAGCAGAAAGTGACAAGTTTCAGCAACAATACTGCACCAAATACAAAGTGAACAAGACCAAATCCATGCACTAAATGACAAGCTTATCTAAAGAGTTGCATCTGGCCCTTGGTTGTGAACTTTGAGTGCTTTTGTTTAATTATGTTTTTAACAAGAGGGAACATTTACACAGACGAACGCTGTATTTAGAGCAAAATCAAGAGTCAAACAGCAGCAAACAATAAGAGACTCAAGCTGAGACATACAAGTGATGCCACGGTGCCTCAGAAAACAATAATGGCACACAGAAAGTGCCTGAGAGCAATGTCCTTAGCCCCTCTCTGGGCGCTGCTAGTAAACCGCAGCAATGTGAGGAATCTCTGTGCCACATATTGTGCCGAGTCCCTCAGCAACATCATAAAATCAGCAGCTCAAATGTCTCATTGTACCAACACCCACATAAGAAGAAGGAAACAATGATCTCCTCTGTGATGGCAGAGGGAATAGAGTGAATGAGACAAGGTACGAAAACCCGTGAAGTTATCCAGCACCCACACTCCTTCACTACTAAGAAGAAATTTGAGTGGGGTTCATAATGTGATGTCTAAGCACATTTTAGTGCAACAAAGGTGTAAACAACAGAAGCTTTCTTTTTAGCGTCATTTTCAGGTCACTCTGGAGGTGGTGTCGCCCCAACTTCACACCAGAACCCCAACCAGAGGGCTTCCTGGTTCAGTTCTGGAGTAGGCAGTTAATGTAGGTATTTGGGGGCTAGATATCTTGATGTGCTTTGTTTGATCACAGCCGTCACATTTATAGCCTTGGGCAAAGCATTTAACCCCAGATTCCTGTAGGTGAGCCGCTACAATGTAACTCTGTCCCAGCATAGCTGCTGGATAATCAACCAGTAAACAAAAGTCTGAAACAAAAAACATTTTTCCTGCATCTGCTAGGCCTACACAACCGTGAACAACAATGCAAGTATTAAATACATAATGTATAATTGTATACATGCGTGTTTGAGGTGAGCATGACTTCTGTTTTCTTATGAGATTCTACTTTACTCATGTTAAGTATGAGTGCTTCCTTAGAGCTTACCTCATTATCATGTGGAGGCAGTTGATACAAGAGCTGTTTGATTCGGTGTTTCTCTCCTGGGCTGTTAACATAGGGAACCTTATCTTCTGGCAGACAGGAGAAATACAGCTGAACCTACAGCACAAATTGGGACAGATAAGGTTTGATACTCTTCTGTAAACCTGCCAGTGAACACTTGTAGAATAAGACTGTGGAACAAATGACACCCTTGTGAAAGCAGTTTTATCAGTCATTTTTTGAAAGTTGTCACCAGATATTTACCACCCATGACAACATGTGTGTTCATATGTTATTACTCATTTGTACTGGTGCAATGATGGTGCAAAATAAAAGCATAACCATACCGCAAGTATTCTATCTATTATTGTTTAATATTACCCATGACAAAGTTTAATGCAGCATCTTTCATCACTTGAAGGATATCTGCAATCCTCATCTGATTGAGGAGCCTCTACTGTGCCATTATATCATCTTTCTGTAAGTATTAGGCCTTTCAACTTTTCCTTGATAACTTTAGTACTACTTCTGACCTGCCATGAAGAGTCTACACTGTGTTTTGTCATTCTGGGCAATGCAAAGACACTTCCCATACTGTGAATGCCCCACTTGCTGATGACCTCTGTAAATGGGAGCAGTTTATGAGCACTGGTTGTAACATTCACCAGATAAAGAGAAGGACTGGGCTTGTCTACTCCAGCTTAAGCAGCATCCTGCTGTTATTCGGCCTGTCTACTGGTCTGCCAATTAAACCTGACAATGAGGAGCCTCGTAAATCATGTTCATTTTATGCTAATATTACCACCCACTCCTCTCCCTCAGGCTCCTGTTTTTGAGTGTCTGTGTACTTCCCTGCAATGATCACCTATAATGTTCAGGGTAATTTACAGAATAACAGCTGTAAAGACATTACAGTTGCTCTTTGCATTTAACACAAAGGCTGTGTTTGGATTTTAGCAGGCTCCTATGGCTTTAGACCCTTTTCTCGCCCCTCACCCCTGATTGCAGTCATATGTGCTTCTCCGACCAGCTGGAGGATTAGAAAGCTCCTGAGATAAGTGTTGGGCTTTCCCTGTTGACTTGGAAAAGCACCACATCAGTGTCTTTAGAAAAAAAAAGCCTGCGTTTGCAGACAGGCCTGCAGAAAAGCAGCCATTGCCTCATGCTGTTCTTTTAGCTGGCATTTTGCAATGATTGTTTTAGGCCTTTGTCTGCCAGCTTGCAATAATGACTTGCAGACTTTCCATGAAAGAGTTTGTAAATAAGAAAAGAACATATCCTGTTTCCAAGTGCCTTTAGGGTGGTGCCTACAAAACGCTTAGCTCCTCTAGCAAATGAGTTGGCTCATCTAATTATAATGAAATAGAACAAACTTTCTCTCCTGATGGAACGATTGACCTACTTTTTGGCATGTTTGCTTCGGGGGTGCTAACGGCACTCTCTGCTTTCTGTTCTTAATCCACATCTCTAGCATGCTTTGTTAAAATCTGACAAAGAATTTGGAAGAATATAATAACACTTCCCCAAGCACAGTGCTCAAGCTGTGCTCACGATGTGGTATTTTTTAAAGTATATTTTTACACATGGCTCTCTGCTCTGTGTAAGCTCCACTGTCCTGTGCATTGGCATTTTTACCAGTCTTCCATTTTTTGCCAGAAGGGATTGGAAGTGTATCTAAGAGCAGGATACTGAACAATAAGCTCACCTGCTCGGGTCGTAGTCCAGGTGGGACCCAGGCATATTCCTCCAAGGCACAGCCGGAGTCATCATCTGAGGTAGAGCTTCTCTGAAAGCCGAAAGTGAGCTTGCTGACCTTCTGCTCCATGTCCAGCTGCCTCCTGCTCCTGTGGAAAGCGGCAGGATTCTCTAGGTTCATCAGACTAACTTCCTAGAGACAAAAATAAAGAGTGATTTTGTTAGTCATGAAACCACATCCTATGAAAATGAGAACAGTCAGACACTGGAATTCTCTTTGCTTAAGCCCTCTTTTGGTGTTGATTGCAGCCATGGTGCCTAGCCTTGCCTCACTGGAGAAAAGAGGTCTGTAAAATAAATTGTGCCTATAAAAATATGACAGTTTTATTGTTACTGCTATTGTGACTGTGCATCATTTAGATGTCTTCCCTGATGTGGTTAGATGTAGTCTCCAAGTTCCACCCTGTTAGCAGGCACATACTGACTACTTTACAGATAATTAACTTTAATGCATTTTTATGACTACTCATCACATTGAAATTTTCCATTTGTGCAAGACCTGCATTTGAATGTACCGACAATACATGCTGTTTTTTTTTTAAAACACAATATGAATAATTTTTAGACATTTATAGTAGGTATGTAATTGTAACCTGAGCTAGGTAGGTCAAAGTTTAAAAACAAGAAAGAAAACTGTCCCCACTTGGAGCTGGAGTGGTGGATACTTATCAAAACTGGAAACTGAGGTATGGTTATGCACATGCACTCCCATTTCAGTTTTCAGTACAATTAGTAGCAGTTACACTTGCATATGTCAGTTTGTCATTTAATAACCTCATTGACCAACCGTTCTTCATTGACCAAGTCTCTTCTTAAAACCCATTGATGATCCCACCATTCACCAAAGTTTTATTATTTGGGATTTGTTCTTGGGTAAGAACAGGATCTACACTAACTTAAGAGCACAAAGGAGTTAACAATTCTGCAGTTTAAGAAGACGTCAGGAATCTGACGTAGACTTTTTCTTAGAACCTTTCTCAAGAACAAATTTAAGAACAAATGTAGGAAGGTATCGGTGAATGAGCTCCATTCAGTGCACCTATGGCCATGTGTAATATTCTGTTCTCAGTACTAAAGACTGTTTTAATGGTCCACAGCCATGTCGTGGTCAAGGCCCAGCTGCAGAAGCTTGTTTTTGAAAGATAACTGACCTGCATGTATGATTGAGTAGTCCTGAGGAGAGTTAATATTGAAAATCTTAACCTAAAAATACTTAAAATGCTTTTGTGATCCTTTTATGTAGTTTTTCAGCCATTATGACTCTAAAAAGAAAGTATTTGACTACCAGGTTAGAAGTAGACGGGGACCACTAAACTAGGCTCAAAAACAGTGGTAAACACAATGTAGTCCATCAGTTTTATGTTGCCGATGCTTTGCAGATTTGGACTGTCAACTCTTAAAAAGAGAGGTGCTGTAAAAGGTACTTTGGGGTGGCAGCATTGAAGAACCATTTTTGGTTGCCCAAAGAACCTTTCAATGGATGTATTGATGTGCAAAGCTTTAAAGTGTAGTTAAGTTTTTACCCTTCATATAAAGGTTCTTCTTCTATACTATATATATAAATCAAGAACAATTTAAGAACCTTTTTGTAAGAATTTACTGTAGCTTTACTTATTAACTAAACTAACTCTATTCTGACATGATATGTTAGATTACTTTGTTTAAATTAATTCTCCAGAAGTGCCTGTTGATTGTAAAAAAAAAAAATCATGTAGTTGGTCATTTTTCAGTTAATACAGAATCTGACTGTGGGACTTCAATTCAACCTGGTCACTGACTTACCTCCCCCATCCCCTCCTTCACTCCCTGCTGTGGTTAAATGGACAGCTGAGAAAACCAGGCGCACTTAATTGCACCCTTTGAAGTGTCCAAGCGTGATAGTTTGGGCCAACATGCTGCATATTCATGACTGTTCAGAGTGTGTTTCACTCTTATTCACACACAGGTCAAGGTGTTAGCTTATGAACTGTTCTTTGTATTTCATCCTCTACCATTGCATCCTGAACCCCCCATCTCTGGAATGACTAACTGCCACCCTCACGCAACAACTATTGGCTATTCATAAACCAGACACTCAAGGCTCAAGCCCAGGCCATTCCTCATTCCAACAACGGCCATGTCCTGCACAAGGCTGTTGGAATTCATCACACACAATAAAAATGTTGACTGAGACAGATGTAAGCACTTAACAGTAGCTGCTAGAACTGATTGATTGGTTAAGTGACCAGATTTTGGGGTCTTTAACTGAGGCTAATCTAAGATCTTCTACATTGAGATGTTTATCTTTTCTTTGATTTGTTAACCTGTAAGACAAGGTCTCTTATCTCATTTGAGATATCCACACCCCCAACCCGAGGGCAGAACAAGGTGGAAAGAACAAAGATCTTTCCAATCTAATGTAATTCTCATGTTCTTTCTTTGAATGAAATGAGCAGTTTCCCTCAGCATTTAACTCTCTAAAGAAAGCAGCACCCATTCAGATGAAACTCAGCTTTACATATGCTAATTCATACCTTATTTGCCATCAGTTCAACTTCCTCACCTTCTACTCAGACAACATTATAGTGGAGCACACAGACTTATAGTGCCCCAATGTGACATTTAATAAATGAATGTATCCTGAAATGATCCTGTGTTTCATAAACTACTGGAAGGCAGCAGAAGCCAGTCATTTTATGTGTGTGAGCATGTGGTCCCCTTCCAGCTATAGAGGACCTCCAGCAGTAAGTGTTTAACATCCCCCTCTTTTGTAGAAACCCTTGTTAACATGGGTTTGGGAGGCCAAGATGCATATCTTTTAGATCCACCCACAGAAAGCCTGAATCGCCCTCAGCCAGAACTGGAGGTGGAGCACAGGGGGTCCAGGGCAAGTAAGGATGGGTGGAGAGGGGGAATATCATACGCTCATACAGTAATGGACTTTTTTCCACAGTAAAGGAATGACTAACAGCAGCAGTTAAGAAAATGTAGAATCTGTGTCGATGGTATTGCTGGTATCTGATTTCTTCTTATTCAGATGTTAACTGAATAAATGTTTATGGCAGTAGTGATACACGAATTTCTATTTGCACCCTCAGGAGATGAGGTCAAGCCCTAACAAATTGCTCCTTCCTGACTCACTGATTTCCCTAACTTTGGTTGAGGGAAGGCACACCAAAACTTTTGAGTTCACCAGTTAATATAGTTAGTTATTTCTCATATTTATTTCATTTTAATTTAAACAAAAGGTCATTACAGAGGCTATTTTCCATGTTTTGCTAGATTATGTCAGCAATGATCCATGGAACAGACAACTTGTATCCACATTTATGCATTAGGTTACTTCTGAGAGACAAAAAGACTTTTAAATTCATGCCATTTTTATGGCTGGATTTCCACTGAAGTGCCAGGACTTCTTTGATTTGGAACAGTCCAAAATCCTGGGAACCTGACTAAGGCTTGGATGTCTAAGACAGGATGTCTGGCAAGAATTCTAAGCTCCTAAAAGTTTTACTATTCCACAAATAAGAGTTCCTCTCAAGTACAGTAGTCAGGATTAAAAAGTTAAGCCAACTAATGCAAGTCTTGTTGCCTCTTACAAGTTAGGAATGTTTAACAAAATGCACTCAGAGAAATACAAGCAGAGAGGGGAAGTTTGGAAATATTTTTCCCAACTGATGTAAGTTCTGCAGCCAACAGCGAAGGCAGAAACTATTTGCAAGAGACAACACTTTTTCACAAGCCACCAACACATTGTGCACCAGGATTATCTTAGATATGATCAAAATAACACATTTTATTGGTCAGATCATTTTCTGTTAAGCTAAATTTCACATTCCATGAGAATGCTAAAATCATAGAAATCCTGCAGGACAGCACTGCTGACATATTTTAGAAAATCTGGATCATCTGTATTTGTAAGAACAGAGCCAGTACTTTATTCCATGACCAAATGGTTGAAAGGCCTGTCCTTGCAGTTAGAAAAGGACCACCTGTACTCAGACAAGCTTTCGTCAGGAAGCTGACTAGCACTCTTTGGTATTTACCCACAGTTTCTCAGTGGTCACTCACACACCTCCTTACCACTCTCACACCATGTTTCTGCAGCTCTGCCTGCCCTTAGACAGATGCCTCTACACCACACTTGCACTTAAGTACAGGCCAGTCTTTGTAGTGAGCTACTAAAAAAAGTTTCTAACTTTAGAACGTAGAACTTCATACACCAGAAGGTAAGTTAAAATGTAGAGTTATTAAAGTGCAGGAAACAAGACAAAAAGTTCCATTATCCTGTTTTTTTTTAACAAGTTTTACAGCTTCTTTAATCACTTCTATCAACTTTTCTTGATGTGACCTTACCTCTCCACACACAACACCTGAAGTAAAGGGTCCTCCAAAAGCTCCTTCTCTTTCTTATTGTAAACTGGTCCCTGGGTTGTATGTCCTAAAGGGTGACATTTTCCAATCCTGTCATATCTAAATCCAACAGAGTAGATCCTCAGGCCTCCGACTGCATTTACTTCCAAGAACGTCAGCCTGACCAATGTCCATATCAAGCATAGAGCTGAGCGTGTGAGAGAGAATGTGAGATGTGAGCAGACGAGAGAAGAGCAGTCCAACCAGATGGTTCCTGCACTTAGTCCACTCCCGTGGAGCTCTGGCTGGGAGCCACTCCCCACCCGGCCTCAGCCATTCAGCTTTAACTCCCCCTCTACCCCCATATACTGCACTTCAAACACTGGGTAGTTTTCCTCCTGCTTTTCTCTTTCTCTCTGTCTTTTTCTGTTCCAAGTAGCCAGCTAGGCAATATGTTCAGGCACTTCTGTACTAAAAGCTTCCTCTTCTAAAGTCCTCTTTTCAAATCAGTCTAGAGTCTAGAGTAGTCTGGAGTTTGGAGCTTGTTTAATACAAAGCTGAAGCAAAGGAGGGACTCTTAAATTTATCTGTCTAATTGCAAATTCCCATTATATTTCTGATGCACAACCCAAAGCCAGGTTTTATGATATGGACAAACACTGTATTGTGATTATATTGTTGTATATTAAATGGCGATATGACTTGCAGTCTATTAAAGTGCACTGTTGAATCAATCAATCAGTGTGACATGGTTAAAGATCTGACCAAAATAATTAATTTTTTTGGATTACATGAATATCT